TTTATACCTATTAAAATAATTCACATCTGCGAAAACTTCTCGTTAAAGCGTTTAATTAAAAACATAAAAGCGTATTCCAAACACTGAATTTTATTCAAATTGTTAAAATCTGATTAACAACATTGATTAAAACACATTTTAAATACCATTTAAACAAAAAGCGATTTCGAAAATTACAGCAGCAGTTAAATCGGTAATATTCCAAAAATTTGTAATTCTTAAATTTTATTTAATTTTCTTTTTATAATAATAATAAACTATAATTTTAATTGTAATAATTTTCTGAAAAGTTTTTGTACAAAAAATTATTAGATGGACATTTCTGAGTTATAAAATTTTATAACTATTTCTTAGAGCTTAAAATAACAGCATTCCTTCGCCTTGATAAAAATTAAATTACTTACCTTTGGAAGCGAGTTTGGAAGTGAACAAAAAAGCAATGATAAACTAACTTTGTTGGTCAACAAATGTAACAGTAAATTAGGTCATTTTGTATTTAATCACAATATTTATTATTATCACAATAAATAAGTAAGTACAACACTATTGCACTAAAATTGGTACATATTCATTTAGGTACAGGTAAAATAATAAATTTTGAAGGTTGTATGATTAATAAATGAATTAAATGTATTTTTTTGCTACCTGCATAATATTGTACAGTGTTTTGTCTACTGTTTTGTTTTTTCTTCCAAAATGTTGTATTTCTAATGTCCGAGAGAAAGTGAAAGTTCAAAATTACCTTATTTTTTCATTAAAGAGTGAGTCTTAGATGTCAGGCCACAATAAACAAATCGTTCACCTTTTCCTGACCACAACAATTCGAGCCACTAAAAAGACACAGGGTTTCAAAAGTGCTAAATTCCCTGCTATCTCGCATGTCTTGGCTGTAATTCCGTCCAATTACTGGCCTTTCCTCTAATCACATTTCGTTGAAGCAGAAAATGACATATTTTGATGGATTACGTCTTTCATAAAACGCAACAGATGCGTCATAGCGACGAAAATTGCCCCTCTTTTAGTTGAGAATTGCTTATCGCAGTCGTTACAAAAAAAGAACCTCCCAGAACCATTCAAATCGGACACAGTATCCTGGATGAAGCTGAAGCCGTTGTCGGAAGACTTTATGACGCGTTAAACGTCTTCATTGTAAAGATTGAGGAGGAATCGTCCATTGAGTTTGCCGTCTCTCGAATCGTTGACTACAACAAATTGATAGTAAATCTGGATGCTTCTCTCGGTGCACTCCATGACAGTCGGTTCCTCGACCTCGCGCTATTTCGGTCAGAACCACATATCTACGAAATCTGCACGTCATTGTAATAATTCACGATAATCGTCAGTGTATGCTTGAAGTCGTTGACAGCTTGCACACAATGCAACGATTTAAATAAATTATTGCCGGAAAAAATAAGCAATGCATCATGCGAACATTTAAGTTTACTCCTGCGAGAATCCTTCATTGGAAATGTTTTGTTTGTTTGAATGACTCGACTATGTCAACTCGATTTTATGAGTAGTTTTTGTGTCCTTCATTCAATTATTGAAACTTTCTGGTACGCGGTGCTCGATTTTTTTTAAAAGAAATATTTTACTTTGGAAACAATGGTTGATAAGTCATCAAAATTCATATCACAAATCGAACGAAAGCAGATTCAGGTTTTTGATTCCTCATCGTCCGTCGGGAAACCGGTAGGAGACGCGAACGCGAAGTCCTTCACGACATTCAATTCCACAAAGCAATAATAGAAGAAAAAACCGATTCAATCCTACCTACATTATTGGCATTGCAAAATGAGGTTCTATAAATTCTTTTAAATTTTATTGCATCTGCCTTTTCGAAACGAATTGCATAAATCATTGTTTCTCCGTGAAAATTGATCAAAACTAAATTCGAAAAATTATTTTTGACAGAATAATTTCACTTGCAATTTACGTCTAGGTACTACAAAAATTATGAAAAACATTTTTTTGATGAAATTCTTATAAAATATCCCTCTGCACAAAAATAAAAATCTTCAGAGTGTAAGAAAGAGTTTCCCCACGTTCTTTCGCTTTCTGAGAATAAGTGACTTGAATAAGTTTATCATAAACAAAAAAATCAATTGACACCTCTTAACAATGCCCACCGAAGGCTGAGATTTTAGTCAAAAAAAATTTTAATCTGTTGCCCAAAAACAATAAAAATAAATTGTTGGGTTCCCGAGCACTAAACTCCTGTTACACAAGACGAGTGGAGCAAGCAAATGATAAATTCTACACAGTAGCAGAAAACATAAGTGACTTTTATGATCCCGGAGCGTCTTTTTTATACTTACTTATATTCAGAATCCACATTTCAGGCCTCTGGACATAAAAACCTATTTACGTTCTTAATACATAAATAAACTATTACATTACACCGTTCTCAAGTTCTAAATATTTTATTAATTTGCTTCATTAAATTAAATTAATTAAACATTCTTGTGTAAGATTTGATTTTGCATAACGTATGCCATCTTCCAGTAACTTGAATATTTCTCAATCAATGAGTAGGATTTGCAGTTAAGTAAAATGTCAACTTCTCTTCAAAAAAACAAAAAATAGTACAACTAATTCAATATATTAAAAGCTGAGTAATAAATAACACATGACAATTTTTTGGTTTCTAACTAGCTCTTGCATAAGGATACGAGTTATCTTGGTGAAAGGTTTTGCAAGAAAAACATGTGATCCGACTGCCAAATTTGTATGCCCATTTTTACTGCAATCGTAATTAAAAAAACACCACCACGTACACACATTACGTTTTGACACAGAACGTGATCAAAATACAAGAGTAATTAATTTGTGTTAATTAATCAATATGACATAATTAAGAATTGGTAAAACTACAATTTGATGTCTTTCTCTATAAATTTGTCACACTGGATAAATCGACCGTGACATTTCACGAATAATTAATCCTCCACCATCATCTCTCAATTTCTTTCTATTTTAGTACAAAAACGCAATTTTACTTTCTTATTAAAGAATTATTTCCATCACAATTATTTAACGATGTAATTATCGTAACCCACCATTTTAAAACGCTTCAATTTTTACCATACCAAATTTACAGCAATTTACCCAGTAAAAGTAGTTTACTTTCGATAATTTCCTCATCTCCACTTAAACGAAATTTTATTTTTTTATCCTAATAAAGTTTTTGGTTACAGATCACTCGATCAATGTACTTTCAAAAACAACGTCATCAAGAGTTTAGAAAATCGGCTTTTATAGAGCACGGCTTATATTAAATGCCACTGCTTCAAAAGCTCCAAGACACTTCATTCCTGCAGTCGACACCCTCACAACCCCAATTGGCTGCTTTAGAACAGAGTGCTAGATACTTCGGGGCATTTGTGATCGAGGAATAGGTCCTTTTTTGAATTAATTCAACCAACTAATGCAGCAAATCGTTAGATCGCCCCTTATAAATTGCAAATAAGCACTAATGGAAACGACAGAAAAGATAAAAGTTCAAGAAAAACCAGGAAATAAATAAAATACTTGAATCATACAGAAATTATTCTACAACGCATTTAAATGAAGTACTTGGAGCTACTCCACTGGGTTTCAATATTTCTCTCGTAAAAAACAATTTCTCCTTTCTTTAATATCCCATAAAAAAATCACAAAAACTCAAATTTTTACGGCAAATTAGCAGTAATTAATAGTACTATTATTATACTTACGTAGCGGGAGTTGTAAAAAGCATATTTACGTACAAATGAGTAAGTTTACAAAGCAGCCACGCAGAAGCGAGTTTTCTACATCCACGAATCTCATTACAACCGAATAACGTACTATACTTTTTCTACGAGCACGAAAATTACGAAATTGTTATGAGATATAGAATTTTATATGAACGCAAAAATTTGTATTTGAAGTATGAGTAGAAATGACAAAGTATTGTAACATTTTATTTTAATTTCTTGTTTTCTAAAGGCGTCCTTGCAATTTCCTCCCTGAAACCACTTTCACTTTCATTCATTTTAGTAATGATAATATAGTTTAATCACATTTAATGAACCAAAATATCGCCTAATTCAATAACGTCGATAAATCTCAAATTATTTTTTTTTAGCATCAGGGTTACATGATAATAAAAAAACAAAAGTCAAACGTTATTTATATACAGGACGTTCCATTTTATGGTTGCAAATTTAAACAGGTAATAAAATAATCAATTTTAAGAAAAGTTTCCTATAAACATGGAAAAATATTATATAAGGAAGCTACACCCCATAAAAAGAGTATAGGGTAAAAAGTACCCTAACTATTTTGGCTTTTTCGTTTGTAGGAAACTTTCTCCTAAAATTGAAAATTCTATTACACCCTGCACATTATGTGCATGTGTCATTTAGGTTCATTACAGTTACTGTTAAAACAAGCTAATGCATTCTTCCTTTCTTATTATTATGAGAATAGAAAAAAGTATATTTCGTATTTCGACACTCGAGGAAAATAATGTTTTGACATTTTTATCATTACCTGGCGTGAGGTAGATAAACTTGGCTTAATGTAGTACTTGCTAATTAACGTTTAGTTTACATTGCATTACTCACTTAGTCTCAAATTAATATGACGGCAGCAAAATTAACTCTCCTCAACATCACTCCAACAATACACCGAATTTAAGCAATTTTCCCGTATGAGACACAATTTTGATCTAAATCCACAAAAAGCAATTTTTGTGAGCGAAATAAACATAAATCTTGTGTAACACTGAACGCTAAAATGAACAACAATAACTTTGAACAGTAAAACAAACATGTTCATTATCATCGCACCTTATCTGCGATCTGCTCCTACCGGCTTTACATTAAATGAAACGAATTAAAAGGGGTTTACGTCGCCGTCAACATCGATGTGTTGGTTTAATTGTGCCATAAACCATGTCACGTATTTTGTCTAATTTTGCCAATGGCAGATTTCAAACGTCTAGACAACCTTATTTTTAACCCTTGTGTCGTTACCTATTTTTCGATAACCTGTCAGCACGTTTCCTGTTTGTTCTCTAGGGGCGGTTGGCAATTTTACAGATGTGAAATGCAGTCCGAGTGTTCCATTTACGAGATCCTCTTTGCTATAACACGAGGGAAAGGAACTATATTAAATTTTGAGATGACGGAGACAAGATGCAAATTTCATCCAATTGCGGTTGAAATCTTTCTTTCTTGATAAAAAATTATTGATTGCCCTACTGTAAATTTAGTTTTATAGCTGCGTTTGCGTTTGAAAAAGACATAAGAGTTCACAATTAAATATGAATGAAATGAAAAAATAAAAAGTTGGAGAGATAGAAGAGAAATAAATGGTTACGTGTGTATAATGGTACAAAAAGAGGAGAGCTAGAATGAATGATTGCTGAATAAGAAGAGAACGATAGAATTTGTGGAATGTGCAAAGGAAATGAGGGAGATAAATGGCTAATAATGGAATTATTTATACATAACTCAGCAAAAGTAAAAGAATTATCATTGTTTATTTCTATCATTGACAAACTTGCTTTTCAAAGTTAAATAAGTAACAAAGTTACAGTTTCGAAAATAATTTGTAATTCAATTAGCATTACACATTAACTTCTCCATTATCATTTTAACTACTAACTACGATGTAACTTTGCCTGTTTACGTTCGGTCGTCTAGTTAAATTAAAACATTACACGAGATAACATTCTCAGTTTCTTTGTGTGAAAAAATAAATACTCGGTTAATAAAACTATTCGCTTCATTAAACGATAAAATTCCAAAAAAAAATAAATAACCGCCAATTCATAAAATCTAATCATTTTCTCATTATTCACTTTTCAATGAACAAACAAACAATCATTTTACTCTCTTTCGAATCGCATTAGCAAAAGTGGAACGAACGTATCGAATAAAACGAAGACGAGAGTTCCCGTTTTATACTCAAATAAGACACATGGTAAATAGATCAATTACAGAGAGGAGATTCGTAGCGAACACATTTCAACTTCGGTTGGCAGTGGTTTAAATAGATCGCATTGTGGCATTTTAATTGACAAGATACAATTTATCCCTCAATCAAATAAGACAGACGAGTTGTTGTGTTGCTAATGAAATACAAATGAAATATTGTTTGATAGTGTTTGATATGGTTTCTAATGTATTGGGGGTAAACAACCGAGTTTACTATTGTGACAAATCTAATAGCTGTTTATTTTTTAATATTTCGAACCAATATACATGGTGTTCCGTTTTTATTGTTACAAATTTAAACAGGTGATAGAATATTCAATTTTAAGAGAAATGTTTCCTATTAACATGTATCAAAAAATGTTATGTAACCGAGCTACACCCTCTGAAAGACATGCGTTTTTTAATGGCGTTTTCTTATTATTACAGAATAGATAAAAGTACAAAAGTTGGTACAGCTTTAAACACCTTTAAACACCTAAACGAATTCAAAGATCAGTTGTCGAAAGTTTTAATCACCGGTGTCTTAAACGGTTAAACAAATTTAATTTTTAATTTTTTATCCTCTTTATGGTCTGTAACACATATTGTAAACTGATTTTACTCAAAAATGGTAAGTTGTATCGAAAAAACGCAAGAGATCTCTTTTTTGTGAAAAACTATGAGATTTAGAATTTTGTAGCTGAAATTGGCAAAAACCATCAGCCAAAATAGTTAGGGTACTTTTTACCCTTAACCCCCCAGTTTAGGACGCCCATGAGTAAAATTTTGAAATTTTATCTTCGATTTCGTTTGTAAGTATAAAGATTATCAGTTGTACCAAATTTTGTAATTTTATCTACAATGGTTGCTGAAATATCGGAAAAAATCCATTAAAATATGTACCCTTTTAGGGGATGTAGCTCCCTTATTTAATATTTTTCGATACATGTTTATAGGAAACTTTTATCTTCAAATTGAATATTCTATCACCTGCTTAAATTTGTAACAATAAAAACGGAACACCCTGTACATGTGGTCGGTTTCTGTTTTTAAAATTAAGCTTTTAACAATAGCTATAAGAAGGATATCGTGTCGTTAGAAATTATCAAAGTTGTTCAAATAATCAAATAATAAAACTTAAAACAATGAATATTACTACTGTTAATACTAGTGTCACCTTATAGTGAAATCATTGGTACGCACTACTTCATTAGTAATGTCACAAACTCGGCTCTCGAGCGGACACGTTTCGAGCCGAGTTTGTGACCTTACTAATGAAGCAGTGTGTACATCTTGAATTAAATATCACACATACTCTCGTTACTTCTGTTATTTCAAAACAAATCACACCTCAAGTAATTATTAAATGTTTATGTTTACAAATCTACACATACTAAGAAAATTTAATAGCAACAATGTTCAAATGAACGTTGAAATAATATGTACAATAAAAAAATTGAAAGGGACAACGTAATGTAAAGATTCTTGTCATCTTGTAATTTCTGGAAATAATTACACTAGTTTACGCAATTTTTATACCTTAGCTAAAAGTTATAATTTGAGGCACTGAGTTAAAAAAAATATATAAAACATTCATCACGTCACGTTTACGAAATATGTAATTAACAAAAAATACAAAAACCGCCAAACAACGAATTAAAAATGAGTTCTCTTACTTTATTTTTTATACTTTTTTGGTTCCGTTTTTTTTATAACAGTCCAACAGTAATTTCATATTTTCATCCCCAAAAAGCTTTGTGCCGATCTTTGAAAACTATTCAGATCCTGGTGAAAACGTTCGCCCTGTTCGTCACTCATGCTTCCAAGTTTTTAGAAAAGAAGTCCAAATGGGAGTCAATGACGTGTATTTTAAGACTCATTTAGTCGGTGATAATTTTGCAATAATTCAGCAACAATTTTAATTTTAAATGTAGTTTTAAGGTTAAAATATTGTCCAAAAGATATCTTATATCTACTTAAGTATATCTTATATCGTGACCAATTTCCACCGAAAACAAATGCAATATTTCAGGTCATATGATGTCCATCGTTACGTTTGTCTTTAAACAGCTTTAAAATTTTCAATTTCCCAAAAAGACACGTACCTTTTAACATCAACTGTTTTTGAAACGTCCAAGTATTGTCAAATTTTGTCCTCCCTGAGTGACTAAAGAAAATTTTATATCAAAATTATAACAAAATTTTTCTAAGATAAGTACATTCAAAATTGATCAAAAAAATTTATTTTTAGTCTTAAAAATATGATTGCTTTTATATAATAACAATTTAGACCAAACGTAAAAACGCTTGCCTCGAAATTAACGACTGTAGACCTGAATGTTCTAACCTTTGTTAGTCGAAATATAATTGTCAAATAATTTGAAATAAAAAAAACGTTAAAACAACATTATTTAAAAAAAATAGATCTACAAATAATTTATTAAACATTTCAATCGGACCTGCAGGGAACATCACGTTTATTTATTCATTCCAACCAAGCCTGTAATTCACGTGACTGTATAAATGGGATCTTTGGTAAATAGTAGGATATACTGAACTGTTATATTGGTCTCTACAACAATCACCCATCATTTGAATAATTTTAAAAGCTTTAAAACACGCAAATGAAATTAAGTAAATTTTGATAAAGCTCACTCTCGTTTTACATTAATTGCTTGCACTAAAAAGCTCTAATAATATGACAGCCCTTTTTGTGCTTTATTAACAAATTACAAACGTGAAGAAATTTCACGTAATTCAAAAAACCATAAATTTTTGTAATACAAGTCGACGAAATGAAGGTATCGATTTTGGTCACTGAGATATAAAACCGTTCGGTCGCTGGTTGAATGGATAATTAAGAGCGCAAGTCAGTGACATTTGATGAAAAGAGGTAAAGCAAAACAAAAATTCAGTTTTCTAGTGGAAAAAATTAAAAATTGTGGTGCTATCCAGTTTCCATATTTATGAGATAATTCAACACATAGGAGTTTTCCAACATTATTGTAGAAATTACGAGAGATAAAAGTGATAACGACGATAAAACCAATCCGTTGTATTAATATTTATCATCAAGTACGTTTTTGGAGCTTTTACGAGCAGTTTTACGGTCACGTGTAATGAGAATATAACGTATTACCCAAGTTTCAAGCAACTTCTTTCAGAACTTCCAGAAATCGTAATTCACTCCGATGACTTAAAACCTTGAAAGTAAAATAACACAATGTGTCAGTCGAGGAAAAAGAACAAAACAACAAAGAGATTTTCTGACGGTGATTCCTGCTACCTCATTTCGCCGTCAAAAAATTTGTCAAAATTACGATGACACTTCGGGTCCTTTGTCTACTTCTCCTCGTCCTTGCGTCGTGTCAAACTCGAAGCATGGATAAATGTGGAACCGCCCTTCGTCAATATAAACGCGCTGCAACCGAAATAGTCGTAATGCATCCGGAGACGTCTCCAAATAAACGAGAAAACAGAAGACCGAAAGTGTGGGACCGTTGGACTAAATGGTCGCCGTGTAATGTCAGCTGTGGGGTCGGAAAAATCACCAGATGGAGGCATTGTATAGCAGGAGGTTGCGCTCCCGGTGAGAAAGAAGCCCAAATTAAAACTTGCAAGTTAAGTCCATGTTAAAAAAAACATCAATAAAACCACCTCAAATCCTGCACGAGATTTATTCAGATTAAAACACAAGTGAGTGTAATAACGAAATGGGCCCGGAATTTGGATTGTTTTTGTAGTCTTTGCGTCATTAATCTGGATGTTGTAACGGATGAAGATATTAGAGTGCAATTATCTGGAATGCAATTCGAATAAAGCGCTTTATTCTGCCGCAGGTTTAAGCGAAGACGTCGCCACCAGGATCTTAAATCTTTTAGATTTCGCTCGACAACGAACTTCCATCAAAAATAATTCGCGCCGTGTGCATTTATTTAAATAAATTACTTACAAATGCATTAGAAGACTTAATTCTCGATGCGAATTTAATGATAATTAGCATTGGAGAACTGCGCACTTTTCGGCAATAAGCATAGTAGGAGAATAATCACAAACAATGCAATTATCTCTGAAACAATTATTGTATGCTGTGCGATTTATATATGTGTAGTGTTCTAGATTCTACAAAGCGAATACCATCCCGTTCATTTATTATCCTAAGAGATGTACATACACATGCAGCTTTTCAGCTTAAAATTTGATAATTGCTAATTCGAAATAATGCATTAATGAAATAACAAAAGCTACAACATCTTTTATCCCCAAAATTACTTTAAAAGTTACATAGAAATACAATGGACTAGTGTGGTGGAGATTTGAATAATTTTTTTTAAACTGATAACTTCGCTAGTTTATTGATCAACACATTGTTTATGAAATCAAACTCCTGTTTCCCCTGTTAATATTAAATAACCGTGGAGCAGTCATCAAGGTTACATCCTGAGTATATGCCTGAGTATATTTTCGTGTTGAATAATTTATGGTCCACTCGCATTCGAACCCTAAATCCATCGGAGAAACACCGCGTCGATCGAATCCTTTTCCCCTTTTTTAAAACTCCACTCCACTGTGTAAAAAATACACAACTTTGAGGCAAAACCTCCTAATCCGATAAAACAAAAACAAAGTAATGTTTCTCACATTACCATCAAGACTATGTCATGAAAGTTTCAAACGCGGATCACCTGAAATAAACGTGATGTGTAACAGCAAAGGTGATAAAATTACAAAGTGAGTTTCTTCTAATTCGATGTTTTCCGTATCTGATGCCGCACAGTTACCACTAATCAAAAGAAAACAGGATGAATTTCCCGCAAAATACGTGACGGAAATATGGAAGTGTTCTGTAATTAATTAATAGAGTGGCTTTCAAACTCCAACTACATCACATTGTTTTTCAAATAAATAGACGTAATTAATTACAATTCGAAATGATTGGACTCGTTGACGGAGAAAAGCCCGGTTGTCTTTAATTAAAAATGATCCGAGAAAAAAAAATATGAAAATTGGCGATGATAATGCGGATTTGCGTCCAGTTTCGTTTTTAAAGCTATTAGTGTCAGGAAGACGGGTGGTTGTGTCTGTTCAAAGCAATTGGTGGAGGCAATGACCCGTTCATGCGGGCCTTCAGGCCCTCATCCTTGCGGTAGTGCAATTTACTGCACACTTACGCACAACTCTTCAATGTACTCGTTTACTTTGAAAGCACAAAAACGGCCATCATTTCAGCTAAAACTTGAAGCTTTTAGCATCGAAAGCTCCATAATCCTGCTATTTCTTCCGCAAAAATATATACCTAGCGTACGTCTCTTAATTCAAGATTAAGAGGGTCTGCATCGATTTAAGATTAAATATCTCTTAGTGACCACAATAAACGAAGGACCCACGTTCGAAGGATAACTCACATTCGGTTTTGGACCCGAACGATTACAGTATCCGTTGTGTTTGGTTTCAAACTTACAATCCCCATACACATCGTGTTATCAAACCTGTACACGTGTAATTCTGATATTGACCACCTGCTGCTGATAATTTCCGGAATGAATCCGGTGAAATTGCGACACGTCTGGTCTAGGCTTCTCTTCAATCATTATGTTTAATGCTCTCCCGTAGTCTCAATGCGATTTTACCCTTACTATCTTTGATCGTTATGGTCAAAGCGATGACTGGACGGATAACGATGTTTTTACAACTGGACGTAAAAGGGTCAAAGTTGATTGTTGGCGAAATGACTTGCCCGGTAATTTGAATATCAACGAGAAGGGTTACAGGATTGTTTGGAATTTACGATAAAAAAAGAACGGTTATATGGAGAATGAACCTTTAGGGTAAAATAACAATGAAAAGGTTTTGAACTTTTTGACGAATTTTTTAGGGGCCTACCTCTACAGGAAACGTAAAATATACAGGTGTGTTAGAACCCACGCCCCAGAGAAAAATTTCAAGTAAGATAAGATGCCAGGAACATGAAAAAAATGTTTAAAGAACTATATCTGTCAAAAAAATTGCCATTTGACATTTCTTTTATGTCTATTTAATGATACTGATGATCTTGTATCGAAAGATGAAGATAATATGTAATCGAGTCATCCTTGGATCCGAATACGTATACTCTTTTTCATATTAATCTGCATCAAGTAGGTTGTAGAAGTCTAAATGCATATTTAATTTAAAGGTCGATTCACACAAAAATTGTCAATAATGTCATTGAGAACAAAAATCACATCAATAATGACAAAAATCGTTATGTTTGCCACCCTATGTTAATTACGATGTTAATTTTAATTATTTTTTGCTTCCTCAAAACCTGGGGCATGTACACATACTTATTTGAGAAAACAATTTTTAGGAAAGATTGAGGTTGGGATTGTTTGAATTTTCGCATGGTTGCCACTTTAAAATGATCCCTTTTAACGACTACTTCGATGCACATTAATACGAAAACGATTATAGGTCTGTTAAACGTCAACTAAAATTACAAGTCGCAAAGTAAAATGGCATGATCAAAAAGTTAATGTTTTAATAACTAAATTTATGATTTACCTTTAAAAAAAAACGATCCTACTGTTATACGAGTACGTCGGCGACTAATTCCAGCCCATTTAGCCGTTTTACCTTTCAACTTGTCATTTTATTTGACGTTTCATGTGCAGTTAGTTCAAAAATAAACATTTTCAGATCCAAAGAAGACTCGATTATAAATTATTTTGATCTCTTAATTATTTAGGAAAAGTACAAAAATTTTGCCTATAAAAGCCACGAATAACATTAAACAGAGTTACAATTTAGGATACAGCTTCCTTGTTTCCTCTTCTAATAAACTGTAACAAAAAAACTTGTATACCCAGACTCGTATTTAAAATTCTCACGAAAAAAAAAACAATTTTTGTTTTTTTTGTTTTTTATTCTCTACACTATGTATTTTTCCAGAAAACCCAAAATTAAATGATTGTCAGGTGTAAAATATCAGCAAAGGTAATATTTTTTTTTGTTGGAATTTCATATCATGTAATAAAAGTTAAAATCGGTTACCAGAATATGAAATTAAATGGGGAGTTGTTGAAAAATAGTGGCATAAATTAATATCTGGATGTCGCAATAAGCTAGACGTTAAACGACAACGCACAACTGTCCTGACAACTGCATTCATAATATTGTATTAAATCGTGACGTAAACAAATTATACTTTAATCCAAGAAATATGAACAACATAACTTGCATACATCTCTATTAATGCACCTTTATTAATGCACCCTAACCTACTTTTAAGCTAATTTAAGAAAAAAACATAAAGGAGTACCTTTTATTTCGGCGTGACAATGAGCATTTTGTGTACTCGTAACTGAAAACTGTTAACTTTGTAACATTGTTTTTGGCAACATTTATGCAATGCTTTTGTCATCATTGGCTGCATACTGTCGTTTTTAAGTAAGAAATTGTTGCAGATCGGTGTTTTTCATGGAAACCAATGTAATTTGAGCTATTTTCAGGTGATTTGGGTAGGTACCGCATACCTAAAGATTTGTCAACAAGAAATTACCACCTAGGATTTGAACTTTTAGGAAAATTACGTTTTTCATGTTGTTTGTAACTAGAATTTTCAGAAGTAACTTTGAATGCCTAGGGTTGGTTACCCCTTGTTGTTAACGATTGACATTCCTGTCAACCTGCTGTCAAATATCAATTGAATTATCCATACAAGCTGACAGGTAGCTTAACCTAAATTTTGACATTGGTTACGATATCTTTTGTTTGTCACCACAAACCAACCTAACCAAATTTATGGCAACCTATTCACGAATATCCCTAAATCCTAGGGAGTAATTTATTGTTGATACGATATTACTTCAAATGTCATCACTTTTAACTTCGAATAAAATAATAAATTCAATTTATAAAAACGCTTAAAAATAGTATATTAAACAACAAGTGTTATAATTATAAACACTCGTGTATTTGAAACACTCGTGTATTTGTAACACTCGCCCCTGCGTGGCTCGTAAACTACTCGCCTCACAATGAGTGTTTATAATTATAACACTTGTTGTTTAATATTGTATTTTATTTGAGTAACAACATTTTAATTTGTTTTGTATTACTTAGGTAAGCACGTGATAAAAATCCACGGAAGCAAATCACTTTAAATTAAAATGGAAAAACGGAAATCCAGTAAATTGCAACGACAGCTTGTAAACAGGAGATTATCAATGAACAAGTCGAACCCCGTGGTATTTCAACACAAAAATTACACTGAAAATTGTCGATAACATTTTGCTGTTTTTATGAGCATAAATCAAGCGTCAATGTATTTGCCCTTTTACAATTTGAAAAACAAGGCTAAACTAAAAGGTTTTTATTTTTTAAATATGACGGTATTAGCCACTGTCAGTAACAAGCATCCCATCGAGAACCATTAACTATGACCGAAATTAATTTCCCATTAGCAAAATGAAACGGGCAGTCCAAAAATAGCAAGATAAGTAATGCATTTTCGATTTACATTAATTTAGTTGTCGGAGTGAATTATTCATTTATGGAGAAAATCCCTGATTCAACAGTCAACACCGTCGACTTATTTAATGAATAAAATTTCAATTGTGCGAAAACTGCTTCCGGTGAAATATCATTGTTTTTCAACATTATTTACTAGTGAAACTTCTAGATAAATTATAATATTTTCCCACTAGAAATGGTTTTCATAATATATTTGTTCCTTTCATTTGTTCAATGGAACATAAAGGAACTAAAAAGTTTTTGTTACTCACCTAAAATTGAGAAATGCTCTCGAGTATTCTGAAACAGAAAAAAAATCTAAATTACTCGCGGTTTTTCTTCAGATTGCAAATTTATACAATCGTTTGATGTCTGCTCCATCATCAAAATGTAACAACGCGAACTTAATTCCCTTCATTAAAAATAAACAAAGGGAGGAGGAAATTTAAATTAAAATGTAATGGATGTATTTTATTACATTGCTGTTGTTAAATTATTCTCTGCAAAATGAGGCAATGTCGAATATGTACAAATTAGATATGGTCAACTCCCGAATTAATTAATTTAGAGTGAATTAAACAGAAACAATGCAAAGCTGTATTCAACCTACAGTTAAAATACGACAATAGTTACATGCAGCAATAAACAATCCCCACTTGTTTTGTTTTACTAATCTTGTTTCAATTAAATTAATGAAACATTACTTTTCTCCCTAAACTAATTTTCCACATTAACTACAACAAATTAATTGTCAAGAAACAAAATTTGCACTCATGTGTTGTATTTCGTTAAATGGGAAGTAAATTAGTTCATTCATAAAAGCAACGCTTTTCGGATTTGGTACACTTTCCAACTAATGACTGATTTGCTAAAAGAATGCTATAATAACATCTGGTTTCTGCGAGCATTGACATTATGTATATTTTTTTATTTTATAAGGCAATGCAATAATTTCTCTTTCTCTCGTGGATTTTCAAGAAGTACAAGAACTTTATATAAAAATTTATGTATTTAAAATTTCCCACTGAATTTAAACTAGTAATAATACCAATGTTTCAAGACATTTACTATTACAACGCCAGTTGAATGTTCATTCAAATTAGTCAATATTTGATTTGCTTATGATGAAAACAAAACTCATTTGAACGTATCCATTTTCCAAGTCAGTGACAAATTATTAAATTAAACTAACATACAGTTCCGTTTGCACTGTGTTGAGGCACTTTTATTATCAAATTAAGAGTCCCCAAGGTTTTAATCGTGTCAAACGATTCACAAAAATTACCAAAAATGTGTATTATAATTTAAATTTGATAAAAACATGATTTTTAAAAATTTTATATTCTTTGTGATCTATGTTTATACGAGTCCACATTATAATTATTGATAAACTCATTTTACTTATACATTTTAAAGCAAAACTTTCAAAGGTGTGGACAAACATAAAATTAAATATTTTACAAAAATTTACATAAATAAAAAAAGGTTATGTTTTCATGAACATACAGGTTATTCCAAATACGTTTGATAAAGAAGTTAGAGCCAAAAATGATTTTAAACAAACGAGTCTCTACTAGGAAATATCTCTCTTCTCTCTTTGAACTATAAAAACAACATAGAAGGAAATTTATTCTCTTCATTACAAAACACAATGTTTCATTTCCTAAAAGAAAAATGACAAGCTGAACATTTTACCATTGAAGCACATTGCAGCACTAGCACGCTAAAGTACATTTTTAAACACAAAATACTACACATGAAAATGTCTAATAACACACTATGATTTTTCAAGGTTCTAGAATATGTAAAACTTGTATTTTTAAAGATTTATAGTATTTAAATGAAAAATCTTCTCAAAATAAAATAATTATTGATATACTAAAGGCATTTGCAAAGTCGAGGGCCCCTGGCTCGAGACTCTTGTGAGTCTACCAGGGACCAAAGACATTAGATAATGCCCATGGTATATGTACATGCAACGTTTTATGTTTCACCTGAAAATAAAAAAAAATAAATTTGACAGACAATAACAAAATAAATATGACAAATATTTTGTGCCTTATAATGGCTATTATAGAGTCTTAATAATAAATTGAACCGAGAAAATCACGATTTCGTTCAAATATTAATCACTGAAATTTAGTCGACCTTTTTATCTCCTGGATTGTGAATTATTATCATTTAATGTCTAATAAAATCACAATTATTTTGTTAAATGCCATCGAATAAACATTAAGCCTAAAAATCAACAGAAGCCTAATTTCCATATAACGTGTCAAATCCTCTCAGTCCGGCGGATTGATTTTCATCGTCGATTGGCCGCCGACGTGACCCGTAAAAAAGGATCCGATCGGTAAACTCTCCAGCTCCAAGTCTGAAATACATTTTTCCTCTCGGCTAAGATTAAACGCCACCTGATCGAAGTCCTGCCTCGTCTTTTCCCAACAGACACGTCTTCGTCCTCTTTTTCACAATACATATGTTCGTTTTTTTGACCGTCAATAGATTAGACTGACGGATCTCGGATATAATGCTGATTTCCGCAAAGCTCGATCCCGAGAGAGCCTCCGGTTGTGTTGTTGATGGGCCCGGGACGTCCCCGAGAAGCCTTCACGAATCTGAAAGACGGGCGAGGATGCTCCCGGTCTAATCATCGGTGTAGTTTACATATCTCCCAAAGGAGGTATTACTTGACTGCATTATACACTGCTTATTAATTGGGAGGCATTGCTTACGAAATTAGAATTTTAGGCATGTTATGCTTGACGTTGTAACGTTGATGATTTAATAAGTTAGAGCGTAACGAAAAGGAAAATTTTCACGCTAAATTAGCTTTCATGTTCTAAATGCCTGCTCCTATATGACGGAATAAAGTAATATAAAAGTGTTTCAAACGACGATAAATAATGGGGCGCCCTTTATGCGGAAAGAAGTGATTTAAATAGCTCCCAGGTTTTAATTTGACGAGAAATTGCCTCAAACAGGACTACCTACAAAATTTTATAATACACAGGCTGTCCTGGAGGTTAAACAATATCGTTTTTTAAAAAGTTTTTAACACATCGTATAGCAAGTATGTAAGTTGTACAATTTGTTCCACCCTATATTTTGCCCCTTTACGCAAAGGTTCACCGGTCAAAAACCGGGCGAAAGTTCAACCTTCTACTCCTTTTTCCGAATTAAGTCTTTCCATTGGCAGTCTTTTAATGGAACTCGCTGTTTGCCAAAACAATTTGAATAACAAACCCTTTCTCTCGCATAGAACACTAAACAGCGCCGCAACTAGTACATGATAAAACATGAAACATCCATAAACTGTGGCCCTGAAATAGAGCCGTAATTAATTAACCCGCCAAAATCAGGGAAATTGAAACTGCAAAAATTTGACGCAACCCTTCATTTAACGATCAAATTACAATTATTCCATTAATCACGATAGCAGAAATACTAATCGGTCGATCTCTCTCAGAATGGAAAAAACGACATTTCACTTACCAATTACCGACAACACTGTTTGGTTCCGATGATAATAATTTATACTTGGCGACCAAGTATGGGTAAATCGAGCCGACTGCTGGAATTGTAACGGAAAAAACGCTCCGTAAATGCAATTAAACTTGAATTATTGAAGTGATTTTGTTAAAGAACACCGAAACAGGTCCATTGTATGTATTGCTTATTTCAAAAGAAAAACACCCGACTGTTTGCACTAAAACACCGCAAACTTGGTTTAATTGGAACATATTGATCCTGCCAAAAGCTGATAAGAGAATACAAGCATCTGACTGGATAATTACCGATACAAGCATATGCCACCACCAATAACCTAACCAGATTAATATACCTATACATAGTTAAGCTTGTACGGGATTAAGGTTTTAGGATAATTAACTTGTTTAGCAAATTTTATCCACCATGACTTCATTACGGATATACCATCATAACGTCGATTGCAAATAAACAGCTCAAAATTATAATCCTCGTCGATTTTAAACACTAAAGATTCAAAGTAATACAATCAAAAGTAATCTCGAATTAAACAACCATTTTCAAGACAAGTTGTTTAAATATACAGGGTGATTTTGATATACTTTTCGTAATTTTCTGTATGATGTTTGAAGAAGCAAGAAAACTTTGGGCAGTGTCAAAAATTTGAAATTCGCTAATGTAAAATTAACCCCGTCCCATCCTACATTCGACGCTCACTGTTTTGCTTAATAAAAAAGTAGTCAACAGAAGAGACGTTTTTGTATGTAGTTCATTGATGATAAAATTTCTCTTTTAAAAAAACTTCATTCATTAATTACTTTATTGGTTGTACATACCTGTTCTCCATTATCGTCTGCTAAGCCATAACAGTACACTATGTCCGCATACTTGATGTTATTGTAGGGCATTTTTCGACTTATTAACACAGTAATTATTCACAAATTTGCCCCGAAACACTGATTGCACTGGCGATTTTATCACTGATTGAAAAGTCAACAAACGACAAATCTACAAAAACGCCACGTGATAAGAGTTTTTATCCCTTTTTCTTCTGCAACCTTAAAAACCACTTGAAATGGAAAGTGAATATCCAGTGTCGTACTTAAATTTACTACCCAAATTTTGATCATAATTTTTTCCAAAAAATTATATTTTTCTGTTAACGTACCCAACTGTGGGACTTGGTAGTTAAAATTACGAAAACTATATCAAAATGACTCTGTAGATTCGACAAATGTGTAAATAATATTTACTAAATCTTTTATCATTGATATCACAAAATAAATAAAAGCAAACAACTCGTACTTATCTACGCCGCGATATTCTATAAAAGTTGAAAGAATAAAAAAATCGAAAAAGGTATTTGCAGACTTGAATTTAAGTAATGCCATCAGACATTTTCGAATATCCCACACATTTCAAAATGAGGAAAATGGTCTCAATGTCCCAAAGGATTTTCACATTGCATATCTATAACATTATCACTTCCCTTTTATACTGCACTTTTGTATTGGAAAATTTTAAATTAGAATTACTAATAATTCGTACATACAAACTTCGAGATCGGGAGCAATGGAATTTCCATTTCAGGTCTCGATTACACTTAAAGCTCTTAAGCGAATCAACTACGACCGGATTTTAGCAAGTTATTAATCAAACAAGAAATTTACTAAAGCATATCAATGAAATAGATTTCGACAGTGTATTTGTCTTATTCGAAGTCATTGGTAACAAATTACTAACAAACTTCAGATGTAATTAATGCCTTTTAAGCCACCAAAAACTCCGCTTTTTATTTATCGCTTAATTTA